ATATATATATACACACACACACACATATGTCTGACTATATTAATATGCATATAAGTAGGTTTATTATGTAAGTTTTGTAGTACTTATAGAATATTTTCACCCTGTATTTCTCACACAGATTTTCATGTGTGCATGCACACATTAATATGTGTACACACACAGGCCACTTAAAAATCTAAATTTCTTAACTTTTTACCAGTATTGTCATTTCTGTCCCAGTTGTATAGAGCCTTTTGAATATTTTCACCCTATTTTAATATATGCCTGCCTTTTTAATAGTTTTACTACTAAACAATAATATAAATTCCACAAATTGCTTTTCAAAATTATACATTGCACATCTTTTTAAGACCATATGACTCCAAGCCCACTTGGTTTTATAACTTCCCTAAATTATTTAACCATTAGCATACTTAGTAACATTTAGATTATCTTCAATGCATTTCATACTGGATATTAAATAAAACTTAAAACACACATACACACAAATTTCTCCACACATTGCAGACTATATTGAGAGAGAAAAATCTCATTGTTTACTTATTTGTATACTCCACTTTTATGCCTAAGAGACAGCAGCAGCAAACAGGGCTTTAGAAATTTGAGGTAGATTGGCTCTGAGCCAGCCAACCACCAGAATATCTGTAAAAAGCTTTATAGAAATAGACTGAGAGATTGATTTGAGGTGATGCTCAGGCCAAGTGCTATTTTTCCTCACACTCATTGAATTGTGTATATTTAAGTGGACTATTTCTACCTAATGAAATTGAAATAAAAAGCATTTTAAATGGCATAAATATGTTCATATCAATAAATTTAATTGAGCTACATGGTCATATAACTAATTCAACAGTTTATAGATTAATGTTAATTATCTGCTTTACTATGGCTTTGTTATTGGCTGGTCATATAAAGTACAAGGCATAGGTTATCACATCCTCAAAATATTGATAAGGAAAAAATGTAGTGCAAAATAGTAAATCTTAGTGATAAAATCTTGTTTTATAGACAAAAAAAGGAAAATAGTCAGTTGCATAGATAATATTTTGGCTAATGTTTTTCTTTATGATTTAACAAAATAGACATTTTGAATTTCCAAATCAAATTTGTGTGGAATAGGAAAGCAGTAATCCTTTTTTTGTGTGTGTAGCCATATTTCGTTTTACTGACAACCTATGTATAGCTGAGGTATAAACAGAGGAATAGGAGAGGTTTATAAATACAATCAGTCCCTATGTTTTCTGCAGAAAACAATCTCATACATCCCAAATAAAAGTACATATAATATGTGTTTGCTTTTTTCTCATTTTAATTGTTTCACATTTTTTGATTATAGACCTTTCTCTTAGCTTCACAAAATGTATGCTTTAATATTTTTGATCCTTCCCTATATCAGCTTCTTGGCTAGATGCAAACTCTTAAATGCTGCCTTGACCTCCAGCTGTCAGGTGAAATATCCTTCTTTGACCTGGGCCTGAGCTCTTCTCAGTCACCTTGCCATGACAGTGTTTTGTTGATGGGCTACTGTAGTCTGTTCACATGCCTTCTAGGCTGCAGAATTCTCCATAAGATCTTCCCCTACTTGTTAAAGTGAACAAGATCTACTCTTCTAGTTTGATAAAAGTCAAAAGGTCTTGAGTTTGTGAGTGTTTAAATAGATCCAGTTTAATTGCTGATTAGTCACTGATTTGTTAACGATCATGCAAATGTCATTATTTACTCATGTAATTCCTGAAATGATGAGACCATATGCTCTTTACAATGTGCTTTTCTCTCAATTTTATTGACTTGATAAAAATCTTGATATAATATAATTTACCACTTGGAAATTTCTATCAGTTCTTGAGGATATTCTCTATTTAAGAGCCATCGATTTGCTACAGGCAATATGACAGCAATTTTTAAAATAAATACGATCCAGTTCCTTGAACAGCACTGAAATTGAAGATAAATGGCTTGTGCTATCATAAATATGAAGCCAGGAATATTGGGAAAGCGACTGCTTTGGCTTTTTATTATCCCATTTGAGTGATATTGGCACAGACCAGAACTTTTCCTCTCCAACTTTACCTTTTAAGGAAAAAAAAATCACTTGGGTTTTTTCACCAACTATCTAATATTTAACTTTAACTTTTACATACCATACATATTTTTATCTAGAACACACACACACACACACACACACACACACACACACATTTGTTCTAAAGGGATTATACTATAGATAATCTTATAGCTATATAAGAATAAAATAGATATTATTGGTGGATCATTTCATCATTTTTAGTGATTCCTATCTCGGGCTGCAATCCTATCACTCTTACCTGGCCTTCCTATTTTTACGAAGATATTTGTGAAAAGAAACACCAAGAAATCACGTACAATATTGGGCCATAGTGGCCACGGTAACCATAGGAAAAGAAAACTAAGTTGAAAATAATTAAGACTCACATGAACAGGTACAGAGATTGGTATGCTAGTCATAGTGTAATATTATCAGTAAGAACATGTTCTTTACACCCATGGCATCTGGGTCAAATTTTAGTTTGCGCTAACAATTTAACCTCATGTAGATTATGTATTCCTAAATACACTGATGATCTTTTCACATTAGTAAGAAAATTAAAAATAGTATCTACCCAAGGATGATTTTTGAGTAGTAATTACAGAGTCTAACATAAAATGAGTATTCTTTTGTATCAGAATATAATTTATACAGACCTAGTTATTAATATGAATTTGTACAGTACTCTGCTTTTTTATGTTTACTCTTCAGAACATTATTTCTCAAGACATACTACCTGTACCAGAACATCCTTAAATGCAAAGGCTGAACCTATTAGGTGTCTAGTTTGATGCATACTGAAA